GAACTTTAGTTCCATCTATTTACCTTCAAATGCCATAATTTCAGTTTTATTTATGGCTGAATAGAATAAACCTCCGTTGTGTGTGTGTGTGTGTGTATATATATATATATATATATATATATATATATATATATACATACATACATGCCACATTTTCTTATCCATTCATCCATTGATGGACACCTAGGCTGTTCCATAGTTTGGCTCTTGTGAATTGCATTGCTATAAACATGGGTATGCATGCATCACGGTAGTAAGATGCCTTTAATTCTTCAGGGAAAACACTAGAAGTGGTATAGCTGATTCATATGGTGGTTCCATTCCTAGTCTTTTGAGGAACTCCCATGCTGATTTCCATAGTAGTTGTACTAATTTATAGTCCCACCAAGTGTAAAAGTGCTCCTTTTTCTCCATATCCTCTCCAGTATTTATTATTGTTTGCATTCTTGATGACTGCCTTTCTGACTGGTGTGAGATGAAATTTCAGTGTAATGTTGATTTTCATTTCCCTAATTGCTAATAATGTTGAGCATTTTTTTTCATGTATTTGTTGGCCACTTGTATTTCTTCTTCTGAGAGGTATCTGCTTAATTCATTTGTCCATTTATTAATTGGATTATTTGATTTTTTTGGTGTAAAGATTTTTGAGCTCTTTATATACTCTAGATATTAATCCTATGTCAGAAGTATAGCTAGCAAAGATTTTTCTGCCATCCCATGGGTTCCCTTAGTCATTTCCTTTGCTATGCAGAAGCTTTTTAATTTGATGCTGTCCCATTATTAACTCTTAATTTATTCGCTGTGCTTTAGGGATCCAATTGAGAATGTCATTGCCTGTGCCTAAAAACTAGAGTGTTGACCCTATATTTTCTTCTGTAAGTTGCACAGTTTCTGATCTAATTCTGAGATCTTTGATCAATTTTGTGTTGATTTTTGTGCAGGATCAGAGATAAGAATCTAGTTTCATTCTTCTACATATGGCCCAGCACCATTTGTTAAGGAGGCTATCTTTTCTCTAATGTATGTTTTTGGCACCTTTGTCAAAGATCAGATGACTGTATCTGAGTGGGTTTGACTCTGTGTCTTCAATCCTGTAGCCAGGTACTTTCTTATTCTTATCCATAACACTACCTTGTTTTAAGAGGAACATACAGTTTGATAGGAATGGCTTCCCCTTTCTAATTCCTTTCTCCTAAGTAGACCCTTTGAGAGAAGCCTAAGGACTCTCACCCATGGGCTCACACCCATCTGTGGAGGCACTCTATAAAATGCCAGCTGTGTGGTACGTGCCCACAGGAACAACAAGGGTAATTTTCTTCTTTCAAAATTGTGACTCCAACCCTCCCCCAATTTCTCTAAGTGTTTCCTTTTAAAGAAAAGCCATGGTTCACTGCTACTGAAAATTAAAGACAACAGAATAAAGACCAAGGTCCAGGCTGGCGCTAGCTAAGGCAGAACATTAAAATCACTACTTGAATTTCTCCCCTCTTGAATATTGACAAAGACTACTAATGGAAAGCCAATCTGGAATGCAAGTTCATTTCAGACATTATTACACTTGTATCACAAATTATTTTGACTAAAATGAAGAAATGAGGTGGCCTTCAGCTGAGATGAATTAGGAAAGGTAATAACATACTGCTGCTGCTGCTACTACTATTACTACTACTACTAACAACAACAACAACAACAATAATAATAATAACTGTATGTGGCTTCCTCCACATGAACCCCTCACCACAACATGGAGTACCAAAAAAATCCAAGAGCTTATTAGGCAAATATTAGTTGATAAAGTTGAGGAGAGAAAGAACTAATCAACTCTCCCTCCTCCAAGCTATATTTCTAGCTTCTCCAACTGCAGGAACCTTGCTGTCCGAGTTTCTCTCTTCTATTTCCCCCTTAGTTCCAGGTTGTGTTTAGCAATTAGCTTTACACCTTAAGCACCCCGGCCATCCTTCCCAGTTGCCAAACCCCAGTTTGGGGGCTGTCCTCAATTCCCAATCACAAGTTGGCAGGATGTTCTGAGGATATATTCCCAATGCCCAACATTTACAAGTGCTGCTATAGCAGTTCAACAAGGTGGGCTCAAGATCCTTCCCCATATAAATATGGAAAATGTCAAGGGTATTTCCAAAGTATGGCAAGCATGTCTCATCAGATATTCAACATGAAAGGAGAAGAATTGCTGACAGAAATCTGTTAGCAGGAAAAAGAGATTGATCAAGTACAGATATTAGCCACATATATCACCCAGTAAATCAGACATTCTCACAAGACAGGTAAAGAGACATGAGAAACAAACAGGAGGGGAAAAAAACTCTAGGTGAGTGCCTCTCTCTCTCTCTCTCTCTCTCTCTCAGTATGTTGGACATTTAGAAGCATGAAATTAAAACTCATGAAAAACAGCTTTATCGACTTGCTGTGGTGACTCAAAAGTTGTTGTTTCTCCACTCAACTTTGCTGAAACACTTGATTCATGTTGTTCTTATTTAACCTAATTTGCATTGATTTAATCAGTGCTGGTATGCTTTAAATACATAATAAATTGGGATTCTGCAACTTAGATGACTTGGAATAGCTAAATTTCAATAAAGCTCATTTCAATCTGTTAATGTATACAGTTCTGCCAAGGGGTTTAAAACTGTAGAAAAGATGCAACTTGCCACATTAGAGGTGAGAAAGGTTTAAAGACACTATACAGATGAGATGATTTGTGTGATAATAAGGTGAAAAGCCATATATATCTTAATTATAGCCTAGAAGCATCTTCTAAGTTTTGAGTAGCACACTTAGAAGAAAATTCACATATAAATGCAGTGAATTTAATTTTATTCTCTTTCTTTCTTGCCAACACTCAACTCTTTTTTGCCTTTCTGTACCAGCTCTACAAATCAAGTGACATCCAAAGTGGGACCTCTTCTTGCCCATTTGGCAGCCTCTGTCACCACTTTGCCAAACTGCATGCATTAGGACGATTTTCTTCCTAGCAGCCATAGGGATTGGGTGGCTTGTATGCACTGTATTTGCTGAGTGGCTGGCTGCTGTTTACCCCAGCCTGTGCCTGAACAACCCCCCCTTCCCCAACCCTTTAGACTTTATGGCTTAATCAGCCAGCCTGCTGTCAGGAATAATTGTTTTGGCAAGAGGTGAAACTACTTGATGGTGAAATTGTTTGTCTGTCTGTTAAAGTGTTCTGCAGCACCTTAGAAGTGCCAGGACAAAATCTGCAAATGCCCAGTCCAGAGTTAGAAGCAAGAGTGAGAAGAGACAACCATCAGGAATAGCATAGGAAGAACAACACTTGCGGAGGGATAACAAAAGAAAACATCTGTGCCAGTAATAAGCAGTATGACCTTGAATAATCCCCTCATGTCTCTTGGCCTCAGTTTCATCATGTGCAAAATGAAGGGGGTTGATTTTCTAATGTCTCTTCTAGCTCCTAAGACAGCATGTGATGTCTAGGACATTTCAAATTTGTGTTCTTTTCAATTAAATGATCCATCTCAAAGATAAATGACCAGGGCAGAGCATAGTTGAATACAAAATGGAATGATTCATGCCACTATTCATATGACTTTTCCTGAAAAGTCCCACCAGTCTTTAGTGACTTTAATTCCATTGGTTGGTCTCTCCATCTTGGCTGTTAAAGGACACTCAAATTGCTTGACCAATCTGCAAGTGGAACCTGGAATCTGGTAATCCACCTTCCATCCTATCAAAATGAACATGATAGATGTGCCCACACTTTAAGTTCCTAGAGGCAGAAATGATGGGAATTCAAAGAGAGGAGCTAAAGATTCACATCCTACTACCTTTTATGACCATGGTGGTCAAGAAGGTAGGCTTACCCACATTCACTTCCCACCTGCTTACTCAGCCATCCTGAGGATTTTTTTTTTTTTTTTTTTTTTTTAAAGATGATCAACAGCCCCAGCAGACTAAATAGAAGACAGGGAGAGTTTATTCATTGCAAAGACTCCTACATACAATTAGGAGTGGAATAAACAGACCAGGGCTTCTCTTTATAATTAGGAGAGATACAACACAATTTAGTACACTCTCAAAGCTTAATCAGGAATCTTCATCATGGAAGAGGGGAAGCTTCATTATGGTTTAAACTACCTCTTTCCTACCCATTCTCTAGGACATTTTCCTGGGGTGAGGCATATTGCAGGGCTGTGCAATCGTCAGGAACAGCACATGTCAGAGTTAGTCTTCCCCATGTCATACAGCAGAATCTTTATTCGTCTACTGTGTGCCCCACAAATACCTATGTAGTCTGATGAAACCCCAGCAGGATCTCATGCAAGCCTCCTTGTACACAGATATGTTTTGCCATACTGGATCTCACATCACTGGGACTGGGATGGCTTCCCAAACCAGATGGGTTTGGAAAGCATTCCCCAATCACCACCAAAAAGGGCTGGCTCACTGCAGAACTCCAGCGCCCGCAAAGGGAGAAGGAAAAAAAAAATCATAGCCAAGCCCCAAATTATTGCCTTCTTGTGTCTTCTCTCAAGTTGCTTTTGTAAAGCAAAGGGCCAAATGTGGATTTTGCTACAGATTCTTACGTACCTTTTACACGTAGACAGCTTTGAAGCGGGGGAAATATTTTTCCAAAAGGGACAGGGGAGAGCACAGAATATTTCAATTTCCCACTTGGAAATATCTTGTCATTGATAAGGCTACCTCTACCCCCTCCCCTTCCTCTTTTTTGAAATATGGACAAAAAAAGCTGAAAGTGTTTTCCATTTCATCAAAGAACATATATTACTTTAGTGGTTCGGTAAAATGTTGGTTTTATGCCCACCCCTTTTCAATCTGCCCATGTCTGAGGTGCTCCGGGAAGACGCACAATCGTGAGCAGCTTACGACACTCAGTGAGCAGTAGGTGCCTGTGCAAGCTCGCGCCGCACACTGCCTGGCGGAGGGAAGGAGCCCGGGCGCCGCTCGCCGCTCCCCACGCCACCGCCCGCGCCGCCCGCCGCCCGCACCACCCCGCCGCCCGCACCACCCCGCCGCCCGCAAAGCATGAGCGAGCCTGCTCTCCGCAGCTGCCCAGGGCGCGAATGGCAGGCGGTCTCCGCGGAGTAAAAGGTGGCGCCGGTCAGTGGTCGTTTCCAATGACGGACATTAACCAGACTGTCAAATCCTGGGGAGTCGCGAGCCCCGAGTTTGGAGTTTTTTTTTTTCCCCCCACAACGTCACAGTCCGAACTGCAGAGGAAAAGGACGGCGGCAGGAAGGCGAAGCCCGGGCTCCGGCACGTAGTTGGGAAACTTGCAGGTCCTAGAAGTCGCCTCCCCGCCTCGCCGGCCGCCCTTGCAGCCCAGAGCCGAGCAGCAAAGTGAGACATTGTGCGCCTGCCAGATCCGCCGGCCGCGGACCCGGGCTGCCTCGGAAACACAGAGGGGTCTTCTCTCGCCCTGCATATAATTAGCCTGCACACAAAGGGAGCAGCTGAATGGAGGTTGTCACTCTCTGGAAAAGGGTGGGTAAGACACTTTTTAATTAAATTCTTTCCCGAAGATTTTTTTTTTCCTCCCTTTTCTTTGCTGCAGCATCTAACATGGACCAAATCACCATCTCTTTGATCTTTCCGTGGCTGTGAACTTTCTATGCCGCCCAGCTTTCTGCATGCTTAGAGGTGAACGTGTGGTTTTTGGGGAGGGGGGTCCTTCTTTATTTCTATATATTTATTTGATTTTTGCCCTTTTCTCCCCCTCCCCCCGCTCCCCCTCCCTCGGAATAAAATATGATGTAGATTTCTGACCGAGCGCTTCCAATGGACATTCTCCAGTCTCTCTGGAAAGATTCTCGCTAATGGATTTCCTGCTGCTCGGTCTCTGTCTATACTGGCTGCTGAGGAGGCCCTCGGGGGTGGTCTTGTGTCTGCTGGGGGCCTGCTTTCAGATGCTGCCCGCCGCCCCCAGCGGGTGCCCGCAGCTGTGCCGGTGTGAGGGGCGGCTGCTGTACTGCGAGGCGCTCAACCTCACCGAGGCGCCCCACAACCTGTCCGGCCTGCTGGGCTTGTCCCTGCGTTACAACAGCCTCTCGGAGCTGCGCGCCGGCCAGTTCACGGGGTTAATGCAGCTCACGTGGCTCTATCTGGATCACAATCACATCTGCTCGGTGCAGGGGGACGCCTTTCAGAAACTGCGCCGAGTTAAGGAACTCACGCTGAGTTCCAACCAGATCACCCAACTGGCCAACACCACCTTCCGGCCCATGCCCAACCTGCGCAGCGTGGACCTCTCGTACAACAAACTGCAGGCACTCGCGCCCGACCTCTTCCATGGGCTGCGGAAGCTCACTACGCTGCACATGCGGGCCAATGCCATCCAGTTCGTGCCCGTGCGCATCTTCCAGGACTGCCGCAGCCTCAAGTTTCTCGACATAGGATACAATCAGCTTAAGAGTCTGGCGCGCAACTCTTTTGCCGGCTTGTTCAAGCTCACGGAGCTGCACCTGGAGCACAATGATTTGGTCAAGGTGAACTTCGCCCACTTCCCGCGCCTCATCTCTCTGAACTCGCTCTGCCTGAGGAGGAACAAGGTGGCCATTGTGGTCAGCTCGCTGGACTGGGTTTGGAACCTGGAGAAAATGGACCTGTCTGGCAATGAGATCGAGTACATGGAGCCCCATGTGTTCGAGACAGTACCGCACCTGCAGTCCCTGCAGCTGGACTCCAACCGCCTCACATACATCGAGCCCCGTATTCTCAACTCCTGGAAGTCACTTACAAGCATTACTCTGGCGGGGAACCTGTGGGACTGCGGGCGCAACGTCTGTGCCCTGGCTTCCTGGCTGAGCAACTTCCAGGGGCGCTACGACGGCAACTTACAGTGCGCCAGCCCGGAGTACGCACAGGGCGAGGATGTCCTAGATGCCGTGTACGCCTTCCACCTGTGCGAGGATGGGGCCGAGCCCACCAGCGGTCACCTCCTCTCGGCAGTCACCAATCGCAGTGACCTGGGACTCCCTGACAGCTCGGCCACCACGCTCGTGGACGACGGGGAGGGGCAGCGCGACGGCACGCCCGAGCCAGCCACCGTGGCTCTCCCTGGCGAGCACGCTGAGAATGCCGTGCAGATCCACAAAGTGGTCACCGGCACCATGGCCCTCATCTTCTCCTTTCTCATCGTGGTCTTGGTGCTCTACGTGTCCTGGAAGTGTTTCCCAGCCAGCCTCAGGCAGCTCAGACAGTGCTTTGTCACGCAGCGCAGGAAGCAAAAGCAGAAACAGACCATGCATCAGATGGCTGCCATGTCTGCCCAGGAATACTACGTTGATTACAAACCTAACCACATTGAGGGAGCCCTGGTGATCATCAACGAGTATGGCTCTTGTACCTGCCACCAGCAGCCCGCGAGGGAATGCGAGGTGTGATCCTCCCAGTGGCTCTCAACCCATGCGCTACCAAAAACGCCTGGGCAGCCGGTCGGGCCGGCGGGCACCAGGCTGGGGTCTCCTTGTCTGTGCTCTGATTTGCTCCTTGACTGAAACTGTAAGGGGATCTCTCCCAGAGACTTGACATTTTAGCTTTATTGTGTCTTAAAAACAAAAACGAAATAAAACACAACAAAACCCCACCCCACAACCTTCTGGACAGTCTATCTTAAATTTCATATGAAAACTCCTTCCTCCCTTTGAAGATCTGTCCATATTCAGGAATCTGAGAGTGTAAAAAGGTACCAATCATTGATTTTTTTTTTTTGTAAACTAAAACGTTTAAAATAAAATAGCATTTACAGTTTTTACAGACTGGTGTAACCTAAATGAATTGTTACCTGTGTTACAAGAGAAGCAACAGTTACAATTTCCTTTGGATGGGGGAGGGGGTGGGAGGATACTGCCAGTGGGAGAATCAAGAAATCAAGAAGCAAAGTAGGCAGAGTCTATTTAAATGTTAAAAAGGGCAAACAAAGCTTATCAGTGTAATAATACAGATTAATTTACCCCACATGAGTAAAGACTGAAAAAAGCAAGATCTTTTATATTATCCGGGAGTGGGCAGTGTAATCTGACCATCATAAAGCAAGTGAAAGGTGGACTGAGGACTGGTCATTATTACTCAGCTTTTGAGGCAATGATCATTGTAAATGGCTTTTAAAAGGCAATGCCAGACAGTTTGTCCTATGAGCAAGAAACATTTTTGCACTTAATGTAACCATCTTTCAAATCATCTCAGAATTTTAACTACAAATGCCACTTGTTCATAATTCTTCTCTGCCTTTGATTCAATAGAACTCATAGCATTGGTGCCCTTTTTCATACCCTCCGATATTAAAGAGAGTCCCTCAGCCCCTGCTCTCTGTGGTTTCACTGAGAAGGAAGCAGAATCCCAATGTTCAGGACTGAAAGCTATGTTTCTGGAGCACATTGCTAAGACTGCAGTCAGCTTAAGCTCCTGAGCAATGACAGCACACTCCTAGTTACTGTGGGGAAAGAGGAATTCCTGACTCAGGATGAATGCCTGCAGGGTAATGACTTGTAGCAAGAGAATTTAGGGACAGACTTGATACAGCAGGGATGGGGGTGGGGTGAGAGAAGATCATCATTTGATTCTGTGTTTGCATATTACTGAGATGGGAATAATTTGTTAACTCGGGGCAGAAAAAGCTGCCTGTTCTCAGATGGCCCTTTTGTGTAATGCTTGCTTTCCCTGTTTTTCACTTTTGTTCTTTGTTGGGATTATTGGCTGCTCCTTCCCACCCTCATAGGTTTTCAGATTCACCACTGCGATGTTAGCTTTTTATTAAACTCCATTAAGAGTGAGGAGGCAGTGGTGATGGTAGTTAGTGGGTTCTGGGAAGGGCAATGGGGAGGGGAGTATGTATTGGATGGAAGGGTTTTTCACCAGCTAACAATTTAATCAGATGTATGATTGAAATAAAGTATCATGGATGGCAGATGGTGAACACTGAACCAATCAGTCCATGTCCAGAAATATTTTTCTCACCCTTCTAAATGATACTAAAGACTGGCATCTCTTTCTATTTCTACTCCCCCCCCCCACACACACACATTTTAAGAGATAAGTCCAAATAGCAGGAAGTGGGATGAGGAACAAACACAACACCATCCCCCAAAATGCAAATGCCTCTAGTCACCAACCTAAAGAGGCAAAATCAGCTTTTTGAAATGCAGAACAGTATCACTATATGGTTTACTTAAGCTGAAGATTAATTGTAGATTTTTCTTCTGCCTATGGAGAAATCAATATGCCTAAAACTATGGCTTCTATGAGGCTCTTGCAAGAGAAATATTTTGCAAAGATCTTTTAAGATGTTAAGCCTTGAGAGACATGGGAGATAGCTTCTCTCTCTCTCTTTCCCCTCCTATCTTATCTCTCTCTCTCTCTCTCTCTCTCTGTCTCTCTCTCTCTCTCTCTCTCCCTCCCTTCTCCCCTCCCCCACTCATTCTGACCAGCAAACTTCATCTTGCTTTGTTTATAATTGAGACACTACTTTATGCTTTATGACACATTCCATGTACGTAACACCCATTCAGACTGTTAATGTTCTAAGAGAGAAGGGCTTCAAAAACTTTGAGGATGGGTTTTGGATTTAGTCAAAGCATAGTCATTTGGAATTGCCACTCTAAACAGCATATCACTTGGAGGGCAGGAGTAATAGGAACAAGGATGTGCCTCATATCTATAAATTAAACTGCAATAAAGAGACCTCCTCTAAAAGAGTGCATACCATTTTTTTTTTAAATTTTTGGCTTTTTAAAAAGAAAGCCATTCCCAAATTGTGGCCACTGAAGGAAGATTCCGTTAACTTAACCTCCTCATAGGAAGGTTACAGGAATGCATTGCCAAAAGCTGCTCTTGCTTGGCGCATGGAAGGGTTGTGTTGGTGTGCTTATAGGGAAAGCTTCCAGGAGCAAAGATTTTCTGGCAAACATCAGAACTACCGGTTCCCCCAAATCCTCTAGAAAAAAAATGGACATTGGAAACTAATTTATTTCCTGATCCCAATTTTATTTTGTACTTTTAAAAAATGTAGTCAGGAGAAAGAGAGAATAATCATGCTTTGTTTTCTGCTTTCCCCTTACTCTATGACTAAAATATCATGTATTTGGAAGACCTTAAATCCATGGAAATCTAATGAAAGATCTTTGGAAAAAGGAATCTACAATCTGGGACTTTGGGAACAAATGATAGCCATAGAAAGCTGTGTTCTTAATTTGTGTGTGTGTGTGTGTGTGTGTGTGTGCATGTTTCTGTAATGGTATGTATTTGCAGGCAAGCAAATATGTTTTCTAAACAAACAGAGAAATTTAGCTCACACATCCTTTCATGGTCCTGTGCCTCTTACTTTGAGAAGGGCAGGGTAGGGAGAAGCCAAGAATAAGGGAGAATGGTAGTTTTAACTAAGGTTTTGTGACACTTTTTTTTTCTTTCTCAAATTAATTAATCTTTAAGCTTCAAGAAACTTGCTCTGACCCCTCTAAGCAAACTACTGAACATTTAAAAGGGGATCTAAATTTTAAAGGTATAGCACTTTTTTTTTCTTCCCACAGAGGGTGCTAATCTCATTATCCTGTACTATCTGAAAAGAATTTAAGGCCACAATTCATGTCTCTTCCTGGGCATTGTGATGGATTAACCCCCCATTTGCAGTTGCTTCCCAGCTGATTAAAGTTCAGCAATGGTATTGAGGTTTTTCAAGTATTTATATAGAAAAAAGTATTTTCCAATGACAAATGATGCTCTCACATTAGGCTTAGCTCTGGTAGTTTCTTAGGTTGTACCAGAGGAGAAGGTTAAATGAAACCAATCTTTTAACAGTTCTCAAAGGAAAGGAAGCCCTTGACATAAGACACAGCCAGAGATAGTTGGGACCACCTGTCCCACAACATGTACCATATGCTATAAAGTTGCCATCATACAGAAAAGATTATTTCAGTAAAAGGAAATTTTTTTTAAAATCACTTTTCACATTTTCCCAAGCTCTTCAAAGTACAAGAGTACCTTACCTTTTTTCCCCCCAGCTTTCAGGAAGGCAGACATTTGGTATGACTTAGCATCAACAACACATTTATGAGTATGTGTAAGTAATTAAAGGGACAAACACCACTTGTTATTCCTCCCAAGTTTCCTAAGCAACTGCACACAGATCACACAGATCACTGGCGGGGATTAGGGGCCACCTGTGTTTCTAATTTGTATTAATCAACTTGTCAGCAAGTCTGACACCTGTTCTATTCTGGCATGGCCAAATAGCAGTAGCCACCAGTGGATCCATATTCTGATGAAATGAAAGTCATCAGACATTCCCTCACAGAGAAAATTATCCAAGCACCAGAATTTATATCTGTTTTTGGAGAATGAGTTATTATAATGTTTCAGGGAAGTCAAGATAAATGTCAATTAGATGGATTGTTATAGTTAATTTGAGTTTGCCAATAACATGTATTTAGTTAGAATGAAACTATTAAACTTGGAGGAGGTTTAGGGATACATATACACATTTATCTAACCATCTTCACAAATATAACCACCCAAACACATGCACACATATACATATATTTTTGTATATAAAAGTAAACATGTACATACATACTTATTGATAAATATCCATACATATAAGAACACAATCATTGATAGGCACCACCACATTACATAAATATCCAGAACTTCTTTCCTTCTCCTGTGATCAACTTTACTTAAGAAAAGATGTGATAAAACCAATCTGATGGAGATATAAAGGACTGTTATTGTTGATAGCATTTTCAAGCATTAGTTATAAGTTGGTACTGGCTTTGCAGGCTGGGGATCCTCTGCACTCTTTGTGCCATGGCAGAGTATACACACCTGTTGTCTAGTGGTGAGAACCAGCAAATTGAAATGCACTCTCAAGAGTACTTTGCACCTCAGTGGTAAGAAAAATATTTTTTCCACTTAAAAATGCTCTACCCTTGATAATTTTACTTGGGATCCAGGAGGCAAAATTCTTACTCTGACAGGAAACCACCTCCTGACTTTCCTCCAATGGACACAATTTGTCAAAGTTCTGGATTTTTGCTGAAAGTGAAAGGGTTGGCTGTTGTATCCTTATGGTTTAGACAGAGATGTAGAAGAGATGGATAAATAAAATCGCCTGAGTGTTTGCTGGAAATGGGTGCCTTTACCTTGATCTCACCACGGGAGTGGATATCAGCAACTGGTGGATATCAGGTACTGGTTCAGTCTCTCAGCTAATGATTCAGAGTGCTGGTTTTCAGTTTGATGGACTTTTCACTGTGCAATTTTCCCCTTGAATGATTGTCCCCTCCACTCCCATGCCCAACAAAGAGCCTAGACTGGACACAAGGACATATTTAGCACAAGTTTGTTGAATGATATGGGTGCAATGCTCAAATAAGTGGGCAATGTAGAACTCTATCAACACAGGGGACCTCTCTTCAGCTTCCAGGAGAAGAAATTGCCAGTGATCATCTAGTCCTATCTCTTACTAGAGGATTTTGGACTCAGACTGGCAAAGACATCCATATGTTACTATCAGGGATTTATTCACATTTCTTTCTTGGTGGTCACATGGACCATGTGTCTATGTCAGAAATTCTCAACCAGGAGCAAATTTGTCAAATGAATGTCCCAGTGGACATTCATTTGGTAATGTTGGGATACATTTTTAAATTTTGTATGAGGATGGTGGTGGGGTGCTACTGGTGTCTAGTG